AATGATTGAGTCATTTAATCAAATCATAATCAACCACCCCTTTTTCCATCATTTGTAAGCTCTAACATATAAGTGACAAAGAAATCCACAATATCGCTTCACTGTAACAATACAGTATTATTGAAGATTGGTGGCTTTCTCTTCTTCTTCGTTAAACTAGCGTTGGATATATACAAAGAGGGGGGTTTAAACAAGTGATAAGAGAATGGAAGATTAAGAAATGAAAAACAGAGACCGAGAGGGGGTGGAAATTGACGTTCGGGGGGAGGATGACATGTAGGAAAAAGGTTTGCAAAACTAAAATTAAGGACAAGAAAATAGGGATGGGGAGAAGTGGCTACCGGCGGCGATATAATTGAGATAGAGAGAGAGAGAAGTGAACCATGAGCCGGTGAGCACTGGGCAACGTTTTCTAGGGGATATAGGGTTTTCTTTAAACCCTTTGATTTCTCAGTGTTGGTAAGATATATATGAAAGGGCAAAACAATCTTCATTTTTTATTGCTAAAAAGAAAAAATTTAACAATAAACTAATGCATGGATTCTAATGGGCTAACTGCTAACCATATAATAAAAGAGTTGAATGGGCCTGACTCATACGGGATTTGACCATCAAGTTTCTAGTAAAAAAAATGAACATCATGGGTTTTCCATCCTAAAAAATGCTATTTTCTCTAGCATAATATATATTATTCTATTATTTTATATCTTAGTGGCTAAAATATAATGTATTTTAAAGTTATTAAATGGTTCGACCTCGACCAACCTGATTAGTCCAATTTTTGTAATTTCAAATATATATTATGTAATTATTTGATATCCTAATGATTAAATTATAGTGTATTTTATAAGGGAATTTTTTACTCAATTTTCTGGAATTCGATTTCTATAAAATTTACTCCACCTCATCATATTACCAGAAATAATATTGTTTCACAAGGTAACAGGTACTCGAACTTGGTTCATAAGGCTGATTTTTTATTTGTTGCATCATCCATGCCTCTTTCCTGTTAAAATTCACTATCTTTATCATGTGTTTCGCAAAAAAAAAAACTACACAACAATAAGCTATACACCCCATTACATTCTCAAATTTCATATCTCACCTTCCTCCGGCCAATTGGCCGGGGCCCACGCTAGTAGTATTGATTAACCATTCTCCGCATGAGCATCTCGAGTGGATGGTTTTTGTGGGAGATGGTAAATAGTTTTTTGGTTTTTTTATCATTTGTCATTAGATTCTTGTGGAGGGGATAGGAAAGGGTTGTTTTGAGTGGGTGTGTTGAGATCTATAAATGAGTGTTGATGTGTGCATCTCGATTCCCAACTCACTTTTTGTAACTATATTGTTTCGACAAACCTGATCTTATCCGATATAGAGACGTGGAGATATGGTTTGGCTAGTTTTACGAACATTCTTTGAAGGGTATTTGATGACGCCTAATGTTTAGTGTTTATCATGCCATGTTTTAGTGACATTACACTTCATTTTCGTGAAACACTGGTTATTTTGGTACCGATTTCCTTCCTATTATACTTCATATGTGTTTAAGGGTCTTCCATGACTATCTTGCTTCATCGGATTATAAATTGTCGAGCAAGAAATCAAATATAACTTGACTAATTTACATTGACAAGAAATTTTCTAAATCCAAACCCCAAACTCAATTTAAACAACTCTGATCAATTAAAGTTCATCTAAAGACATCTAACGACATGATTACATAAGGTATGCTAGACCGAGAAATATGCTAGCATTTATCCTAAACTAGTATTTTCAATCTTGTATTTCCGATATTACCAATTCAATTAATCGTTATTGTGGAATACAAAAAGGCATATTCTTTCAAACTCACATATTTTTCAATAATGATTAACTATGTGATGAATCGGTTGATAGATCCAATGACAAAGTGATGGATGAATTGATAAGTCTACAAACCTATATCCATCAAGAAAACCTACAAAAGTAATTAATTAATTATAAATCTAAAATAAATGAATGAACGAATGATGGCCAACCAACTTTGGCTTGCAGCTTACAGCAGCCAATAGCGACAACACAAACAGATGGTGACCTAAAACGTTATTATTGTTATTATTATACCTTAGAATAATTTTCTCAAAAAGCTATCTTTTGGAGCTTTCTGCTGAAAAAGTCTGCACCTCTTTTTTAACAACTAAAATTATCGTCATTAATTATTTTCTTAAAAGTATCTCAATAACTTGGAAAATTAACAATAATAAATTAATAATAAATGCCAACCAATAGAGAGGCGAGACAGCAACATTTTTTCATTCATACTTTATGGTGAAGTCCAATGATCAAATTAGTTGATAAGATTTAGCCTGAAATTCCTCTATGAAATAAATTAATGGATTTGATTTTTGTATGGTTGTATTGAGATTTGGATGGTGCCCTTCTCTAGCTACTTGAATGTAGTGAGACACTCCACAACATGATTTATCCATTCAGGTATTGTTTTTTTTTTTTTGGGTTGAAGTTACTTTGTTCATGAACTAATATAGATTAGATTTTGGCACCTTATATCGATTAATTGAAATATAAAATTATAAGAGGTCGGTAAAAATTGAGGAAGATGTAGAACATAAATAGGGTTTGAGAAGAATGGAGTTGATAGAATTAGAGAGAAAGGATGAAAGGAGGGATAAGTTGAATAATACTTTTGTTAATTACTTGATTGGTTTATTAGTTGGACTATTATATTACATTGTTTAAAGTTCCCTCAAACCCTAACCTACCTAAACATAGAAGAAGAACCAAAATACCCCTAACCCCTTACAATAATTAACGAATAAGATAAAACAGTGGCTTCGACGTGATTTGGTCGGTATAAAATACATATACTCTCTTCAAACAATCTCAATTAGCTAGTTTAGCCAAAGTGTTCGACCATGAGACTCCCAAGTCACACCGACAAAAAAAAACACCTAATTTTGAGGAAATGAATGAGATTGGAAGTTGAAAAATCCCCTTAAAGCTTATGTTTTTGTACTTTAGATTGACTAATATGTCGCTTACAGATCTAGAAAGAGTTGATAACAGATATCCAGCAGAGAATTGTACATGAAATGTATAGTTCAAAAACCAGGAGCTAAAAGAATAAATTGTGTAGTACATGAAATGTTGATAGCAAGTGCACAGTTTAGTGACTAAAAAGAAATTTAACCTTTTTATTTGCTGGTCTTTTAAAGTTAGGTACTTATTCCCACATATGTATGGTAGTTGTTGTTGACATTTGTTGGAACTAACTTTTCCACAAACCTAGTTATGTGTCAGCACCTAATTAAAATCAAATAAATTGTTAAGACATGCATCTCATGTTAAATGTTTATTTATAAATGGATATTGACTTTGAAGTTTGACTCTTTCCTCCTAGCTAGCTAGCAAAGAACAACTAACAACCTATATAACTAATTATTCCTAACCAATTCCTATAGATTATATATTTTTTTTTTTACAAAAGATAACCAATTCCTATAGAATAGGTAATACAATTACTATAACACATCCCTTATTAAAAGAGAAAAAGCTTATAATAAAATAGAAAGAGAAAGTGGCAAGAAAAAAACTAAAAATGTATGCCCAAATATTTTGTACACATTGGAGTAGATTTGAACGTATGTGCTACATACCACGTCATAACAATAAAAGTAAAATTCAAACAATTATAGAGTTTCCTCTCGTTAAATGTAATTAGATCGATATTATTATTTTCTTTGAAGAAAATAATTGATGTTTAATTCGCATACTTTCTTTATCCATTAAATGCCAAAGTCCTGCACACCATCTACAAACACTGAAGATAATTAATTGTACATTGAAAGTGATGAGAGGGTTACTATAGACAGACACACCGAAAGAAAGTTAAAGCGGTTACTCAAAATCTAACCGACCACCATGCACTTCAAAAGGTAGGAACAGATGGTTGCCCGCAAAGCAATATCTTTGAAAGAGACAGACAGACAGGTGAAGTGAATCTCTGTCTATTCATTTCAATGGATTGATCTCTCCCCTCCCCTGCTTTCCTACAACAATGAATTGTAACAAGTTGGCTTGTTGTGGAGTTGGCCATTTGAACCGAATCATCCAATAGGATAGCTCGATCGAGCGGTAAGAAATAAAGTTGGAAATTGGAACGGTATGTTTTTTAGGTTTGATTTTCACTATTTATTTATTAGTTTGACTTCTGAGGGAACTTCTGGGGAACCGAATCAACAGAATGTTATACTGGAATCATCCCATCGCATTAATTAACTTTTCAGGTATTTGTTAAATACTGGGACCAGTGTTAGATAAAAGAAGTATATAAGAACAATCAAATTCTTAACATCAAATGCACCAGTGGTCTAGTGGTAGAATAGTACCCTGCCACGGTACAGACCCGGGTTCGATTCCCGGCTGGTGCATCGGTTTTTTCCGTTTACCTTCACATTTTTTGTTCATGGAAGGCAGTAGCAACTGCACAATCAAACTGTTACAGAGAGAAAGAAGCTCCCCTCTCTTTTGAGCTTTCTCCTTTAGTAGTTGACAGATGGTACCAACATCACGAGTCAAGCATCCCAAAAGAGAGAGAGAGAGAGAGAGAGAGAAGCATTTAAAATGAAAAGGGTAATGGTAAGATTTGGTGCAGCAGCTGCTGCTGGACTCACTAATGCAATCTTTACTTCTCATTCAACAAATCAAATCCATTTTGGAGGGAGAGGCTTCTTTCTGTGTAATAAAGGAGCCTGAAACTGACAGTTCCTTGCGCCATCACAACACTCATTCCTCCTTCCTATCTTCATTCATTTAAGAGGCCGGTGCCTAATACACTGTTGTTCATCAAGCTGAATAACGTCACACGGATATGATATGATCGACCTCCCTACTGATGTGATTGTGACCCACTCGATCCGTTCCTTTTTTTCATATCAACTGCCTGAATGTCGAGCAAACTGACACTGTTGGATCGCCATCGAGCAATCACATTCGTCGGATTGATTTCATGACGTTAATTTGAAAAATAAAATTCACTATGTTCAATTAAATGGTCGGTAATCTGTTGGAGGGCAAATTCAACAAGACGTTGGCACGTGCTGATTGCTTCACGTCAGCATATTAGCCAAGAAGCAGATTGCCATGAGAAACCTACCGTCCTAAAAATGAACGGAATTTTTGGGTTTGGAATTTGAGATCCAGCTAACAAGTTGGAATTAAGTCGTACCATCTGTCTAATTTGGTCACATGTCTAATACAAATTGTCAACAGCAGCGGCTGCGCAGTGCATTGCATGCTGCTGGCCTGCTACTGTGTTCAGACTCCCCCACACTACAGAACCTGAAATGACAGCCGACGATTTCACAACAGCCAAAATCATATAGAAAGACTGCTCAATAAACGAAATGTCACTATACAGAAGTCTCTGCTCAGTAATCAGATTTTTGCGCGCACTGTTCATCATCAGCTTTCTTTGACCAAAATGTACGTAGAATTTCCCCACTATACAAACCCAACAAACAAACGTGACCCGTATGCGAAGAAGACGGATTGAGACTATCATGACATCGACGTCAATTATTATCAGGAGAAGATTTGGCACTCCCTCTCTCTATTCAGTGGTAGACTCACTGGCCTATGCTAACAGTAAACCTTCATCATGCTGTACTTTTGACAAAGCTTGTGCGCAGGCAAGAGTGGTGATCAAAATGAAGAGGGTGGATGGTTAGCTGCTTAAAAGGGGAAAGTATCGCCGACCAGTCTCTCCATCTCTTGCAATTGATCGTAAGGAGCAATCTGGTCAAAAATCATGAACAAAGGGAAAAGGGAGGTAAATATTCTTGTTGGGTGTAAGCCCACAGAGAGGAGAGAGAAGAGAGTAGGTAATGTAATTCAATTCATTGGGTAGACTTTTTTTTTGGGCTCTTTTTGGATCGTGAATGAGACGTGTATGTGGACTATTCAACACCGTGGTAGCTGGTTAAGGAATGGAAAGCTATAATTCGCATGCTGGTTGAATGGTTGGCAGCTTACCAAGATGTGGTATCAATATTCAATGGTAGACAATGTACGGGAAAAGAGGTTAAAATTACCTGGTTGAATCCGTCGGGCCATGTTATTTCGACTGCGTAGTTTCCCAATGGCCGAATGTCTACAGGTTCGATATCTTCCGGGACATCAGAGTACATCAGCTTCTGCTCCCCTGTCCATTCGTCCTGTATTTGGATAAAAGGGGAAGAAAGCAGACATCAAGTGGGTCAAATACTAGGATGGAAACAAACAAACTTAGCAGCACATTTGTGGCAATTCAATCAGCAATTCTTCGAGAGGAGATCATCAGCACGTACCACGCTTTGTGCAGAACGATCGTTTCGCCTTACTGTTGCAGGATGGAGGAGGAACTCTTCTTCTGAATTTGGCAGCTTCACTTTGATCGCCTTCATCGATTTATCATAAGTGACCGCAGTTGAAACTACAGTGGAGAGAGTACAGGTCAAGCAATTATGTTATGACCGAGTGCATTTGAAGGCTGCCAACCGGTACAAGAAGCCAAATATGTTATACCCCGTTGACGTATTTTAGCACATTGCTGCACAACACAAACTCCGAGGTCCTGGAACGTCTTTGCAACTTCGCCTAGAGGATCAGCAACTACTTCAGGCATCCCATTATCCCCATGGGCAGATAGCTAATGAACCATGAATCAGCGACTTCATGTTACTTTATGCATTTGTGGCAGGTATCGAATATCTTAAGACATTCTCAAAATGTAGGGAAGAGTATTTGAATTGAAATAATTACGGAACGGATTAGTCAATGGACTTACAGTTGGCCTGATTGGAAGATCAAACAGATGAGGGATCCCAAGTTTCTCAACAATCTGTGAAATTCGACACGAACCAGCAGTTTCGTAATAAAGTCTTGAGCCTTCAACTGGGAAGCAAAGAAGTGGATGATGATAAGTATACATGCCTGAGAACCGGATCCTCTGCCAAAAGGGTAATATCGGTATCCACCAGCATCGAAGTGGTGCAAATTCTCCACTACAGCAACGCAAGGCACCTATATGCTTGAAAGAAAACAACATGAATACATTATCACAGCAATTAAAAGTGACTTGGAAACATTTGAAACCTATCAATATGCTTCTCATCAACAGAACCACTAAACGTTGTTGGAATCATGGTAAGAATGGCGGGGCACATACCTTAAGCTTTGAAAACATCCGAACACCCTTTGCAACATCGATGAATGAAAGCTTCTGAGGGGTGGTCACGATAACAGCAGCAGTCAGTGGGACAACCTGGCATAAAGTAATCTGTATATCGCCAGTCCCAGGAGGCATGTCAATGATAAGGTAATCCAGCTCTCCCCTATATTCAAGAATCCAGATAAATTGTGAAAACGGAGGTTATGGTATTCTGCTAGGATATACAGATTATGCACACAAGGCCATAGTTTCTAGTTCGGATGGTGTAAACGTGTTATTCACTCTATAAACTCACCACTCAGTAGTCGTGAGAAGCTGGTTGATAACTCCTGACACCATTGGACCCCTCATCATCGCGCGACCTTGTCCAGCAAACCCGTACGAAACCAACTTCACTCCCATGTATTCAGTAGGTATAATACTTCTATTCTCTGGGTTCTGGTAACAAGAATTCAGTTCAGCCCGAATCCACCATTTTCATTTCAACTAACTGAACTGGTTTTAGTATACTAGAGGTCTAGACATGTTTACCATCATCAGCAACCGGTTCTCAGGAGAGACCATTGTTGGTAAACTAGGACCATACACATCAGCATCAAATATCCCAACTCTAGCACCCATACCAGCCAGAGTATATGCAAGATTCACAGCAACAGTTGATTTCCCCACCCCTCCCTGCACAACTTTTCGGTATGTAAAACCAATGAACACAAAGCCGATAACAAGACTAACAAACAACCACAGTGAGCACAATCATTCGTCAAATCAAGAAGATACAAGCGCATGGTAATCTAACCTTGCAACTAGAAACTGCAATGATATTCGAAACGGTCTGCAAACCAGGAGGAAGTTCTCCCGCGTACATAGGTTTAGCTGGCTGTGCTGACATTGTCACACTAACATTCTTCACCCATGGCAGCCCAGCGACCACCTCATTGGCCTGCTGCTCAAACTGATAATAATAGGCACAAGTAGCCAAGTAGGATCTTAACCAAATTAACACCAATCAAATGCCAAACTGAACGAACAATTAAGCACAGCAAGGTGAATGCACTAACCAAGTCCTTGATTGGACAAGCCGGCGTAGTAAGCTCCAACCTAAACGAAACCTAGCGGCAAAGAAAACGACGAACAATTCAACAAAATTCCGAGTGTTTACTTATCTTCTTCGACGAGAAATTAGCTACTACCTTTCCATGACCTTCATCGATCTCTAGATCTTTGACAAATCCACAACTCACAATGTCCTTTTCGAAATCAGGATCGATGATCTGAGACAGGGCATTCAGCACGTCGCTCTCTGCGGATGAGCTCAATTCGGCCGACGATTCAGAAGCGGCAACTGGACGTTTATACACCAAGAATTCCGCCATTAAACACAGGAAAAACGAAATCGCACATCCAGAGCTTATACCGAACTTAAAAGTTACCTTCAGTAGCGGAAGCAGCTCTCGTAGTGAAGCAGAAGGACGGCTTCGAAGAACTACTGCTACTTCTCAGAGGAGTAAGTAGCGAAGAGGACGAACTCGTCGCCGATAGGAACTGGAGCCACTTCTCCGGCGGGGCGATTCCTGAAACGTCGAGTACCGGAATTTCGAGCTCAAGAAAACGAGAGAAGAACGGGAGCTAACAGAGCAGCGTGGAGAGGAGATGGATTCATCAATGGCGGAAAGGAATTTCAACGAGCGAAGAGTTGGAATCTAACCTGGCTGCTTTGTTTGCAGCTTCGAGTTTTCGAAGGGGAGAAAGCGGGACGATGGAGCTGAGAGAATCTCCATTCTTGCTTTCTTGGGAGAGTGTGGCGGGAGAGAAGCAACGGGACTTTCTGAGCCTCAGATTTTCTCGCTGCAGCCTTATATATCATTTGAACCGAGTGTCAGTGCTGCTTGAAACGGCGTCGTCGGGGCCGTTTGTCTCCCCGCTCTTTGCGGCTGCACGGGGATGTAGTGGGCCTCTGAGGTTGCTGACTTGGCAAATTCAGTTGACAAATAATAGAGACTCGCCTTGTTGGCACTCGATTGGGGGGGAAAAAGCCGAAAATATAATTTAGAAAAGAAATAGAGTAGCGGGCCCCACCTCTTCCGCTCCAGGTCATTATGCCATTGTTTCCCGCAAATGCAATCCTGTTATTTCCTTCTAAAAAAAGTACAAAAAGTTTATTAGTACGTAGAATAATTGATGATGCAATAATACTTAACATATGTTCACTGTTATTTTACAATGATCTAAACAAGAATGATTGAATGAATCATTAATATTAGGTTAAAACCATATACACACACAGTGAGTTAAATCGAAATTCAAGTAAGCATCCTTTTCCACCTTCGTGATCAGGATTTCATGAAAAATATAACGAAAATTGCGTGACGAAAAGAACTCTAAAAAACAGAGGACTAAGAATTTGCCATCAATTCAATTTCCCCTTCTTTGAATGGAAGAAAGGTTAAAAAATAATGACGATTTATCCATTACACATTGGAGATTCAGAATTTAGATGATTATCCTTCAGTAAGTACTCTACAGTCTACAGCTACAGTAATTTTATGCCCTGAGAACAATTCAAATGCCCGATTAGACTTTTGACTTTACCCCGCTGTATGAATACGGCCTGAGTAAACCCAAGAAACCGAACCGCACAGCAAAAGGAAGGAGGAAAGCGGGAACAAAGAAATTTCCCCTTTCTCCCTTCACCGGTTCCTACAAAGTTCTTTCCTCAATGCCATAACTTACTGCAGAAGCCATTCCGCGGCCTCTTGTTCGATACGATATCTGAGAACGAGTCGATCAGTTGTTCTGCTAGGCTACTCGGGTCGTCGATCATAGTCCGGATGAAAGTATGAACAACCCTCCGTTCCTGTTCCGTGGACCTCAAGCTAAACCATGTGAGCAACTTCAGGCGGAACTCCTGATCAATATGCCCACCACATTCGAGCCACCGGATTATTTTCACACACGACTCGAAGTTCTCGTCCAACGAACCGGAGCCCCTGGACGGGCGAAATGGCGATCCGTTGATGAGAGTGCTGTCGCAGTCATGAACCTCCTCGTTGGCCCTTTGATGCTGCTGTGACGGGGCTGGCCTTTTCCTATTATCTCCCCGGGAATCAACAGCGGGGGCTGAGTCGCCGCTGCCATTCGATCTAGCTAAACTGCCCTTCTTTATGTTGTCGTGAGAAGCAGCATCGTCGTCTGCTGCCTCCACGGCGTGCTCCTCCAGAGTGCAGTCGTTATCCTCGTCTCTGGACGACTCGAAGGGAGGGGTGAGCTCTTCGTTCAAGTCGGGAACGGACATGACGTTGAGATCGAGTTGCCGTGAGGAAGAAGCGGGCAGCTCGTGATCCTGAGTGGACTCTGGTTTTGCCGAATCGGCAGCATCACAGCAATAGCCATCGGAGCAGGCTCGCTCCTGAGCCCACGCCATGCGGATGATCTTCCCGAGTTCTCGAACCCTGAATCCGGAGAGGTCACTGCTGCCTTCCGTAGTGGCTTTGGAGGTGCTTCCTCCTTCGTTGTTGATGTTGTCGTCTTTCGTACCACCATTTGCTGCAGCTGAAGAAGAGCTGGGAAGCTTGCGGAAAATCTCTACGCTCTTGGTGAAACACTTGGCTTCTGAGTGACCCAAATCACCAGATTCTGTGTATGACACGATTCGGAAGGTGTACTGTGTGCAGGGCTGCAGATTTGATATCAGAATCCTCCTCTGAGTCTTGGGGAACACGGAAATAGGTTCCTTTGGAGGAGTCTCTTCTCTGCTCTTGGTATACCAGAGTTTGTAGCCCATTATATCGTCGGATGATGATGCAGACATTTCGATCAGGATGATTATGACAGATGATGCTGTTACTTCTTCGAAGAAAAACCTGCAGGCAGCGGGCAGTGAGCCCTCTGCTGAAATGGAAAAAACACACGAATTGATTATTTCTTCTGCTAAATATAGAGGGCTTTTTCGACATGGAACCACAAGATCAACTAGAGGAATCAAAAACCTCTGCAGCTAGAATTGACATTAGAAGCTGAAGCCAGCCATTCATCTGCTCTTTCAGTTGCAAGAGTGCAGAGTTTATGCACATCAGCAGCAATGGGGAGTCTGCTGACAATGCCTCGTGCCATCTTAGCAGAAACGCCATCTAACGGACCAACCTCGGTTTCTAGTTTGGCTTTGGCTTCTTTTATGGGTTCATGCAACTCTTTGAATCTTGAAGTTCCATCAAGTAGTCTATAACATAGGTAAATCCTATAGCACAGCAGATCAACACGACGGGCTTCTTTTGCAATAGTGAGCTGTTTCTTCCAGGATCTGCCAGTAGAAAATGGAACATGTCAGCCGAAAGCTATTGGTGTACCACCAAATGCGCACAGTGACACAAAAGAAACATTGTTCTAGCTGGCTATTTTCTTTTTCTGTTCCAATGTAGCATCTCAATAAGGAACCACTGGAGCAATTTAGGAATCAGCAAGAGTGGCAGATGATGAACAATTAATATCTAGGGGGAAAAAGACTGCAAATGGACTACTTACCCGATAATCCCTGATACTTTACCACAAGAAGCGCAGCAATAACTGCCGTCTAGCTGCATGAGTTGCCCGTGATCAACAACACCAACCTTTTCATGCTGAAAGGCACACTCGATGTGACATGAGAGCCCACAAGAATCCTCATTAGCTGCTTCAGATGTGCAGAACAACCACAGACTAGGGTCTTTATTCTCGTCAAAGGAATGACAGATGCAGCAAGAACACCTCTTGCAGAATGAGTCATCAATGGATAACACAGCTCTGCAGGCAGCATTTTTACATATCCAAGAGTTTGAACTCACAAAATTGGGAGACTGGTCTGACGCAGGTGTTATTCGAATGGGGTTTTCGCCCTTCCTTTTCTGCTTCTTTGAAGATTGATTATTGGTGGTAGGAGACGGTTTCTTGGATTCCAGCTTCTTTATTGTTTTGCTACCCAACGACTTCAGTTCTGTCATTTTGCCTTTAAACGATGCTGATAGCTTCTTGTCCTTGTCAAAGCAAGTACGAAGAAGTTCCTTTTTGGGACCAGAAGATTTCAGGAACTCTTGAATTAGTTCTGGACTTCTTAACGCATCATCGGAGTTACCATTTTTCTCTGGGGTGCTTTGGACACTGGAAGAAAGGCTTTGAACTCCAGAAACTGGAGAGACAAGGCACCAACTTTAGAAATTGACAGTACTTAAATTCGTTCTGGAAAACTTGTCCCATTAAAATGCAGAGAGCTCATCTGAAATTAATAAGTTTGTAAGATTCTCCAACCCAACAATGAACTGGAGGCAATAAGAAAGTAAAATGACAAACCATGCAGACGAAGAAACCAAGACATGAGTCTGAGAGGAAGTAAAATCCTTAGGTACTTCAGACAGGAAAATGATATTCCGATACAATTAGAGCATAGTATCATAGATCTAACTGGTCAGCTTCCACATAATCATTCGTTATCATCTGATTTCTGGATAAGATAAGACTTCTAAACATTTCCTTTAAGAGCACATTCAAACTCATAAACGATGGACAACTGAATAAGAACAGAACAGGAAACCAATAATACAGGTACATACGAGTCGTCATCATCACAATTTCATCGACTTAGCCTTCTGTTCCACTGGATAAGTTGATCAAATGTAAACTTCCCATGGTGCAAAAGAAATGCTCAAACATGTTGGTCCAGAGTAAAGACACACTTAAACAAGAAATTCAAAGAATGGACCCAGGTCCCTCATTTGACCTTGACATTGACATTGATGGACCGACATTTCAGATCAGTCACCATAGCATGTAAATCAATGGAGTTACTGCATGACCACCACACTACCCATTTCATTCCATGTAATCGTGCTACTTGTAGCTACCATTACAAACCAACCTTGAATTGAAGATGACAGGGGAAAAGGCCATACCTTTCTCACGAAACTTATCATCCAAGTCCATTCCAACAAGCCAGCTCAATAGCTTCTGCAGCCCTGCCTGTAAACAAAAGAAGCTACAATGTCAATATATACTTCCCCACCAGACCTTCTGAACCACAATCAAATTTCACAGAACCCAACGAGCTTTTGTCTACCCATGAAGGGGCAAAAGACAAAAAGGAGAGCTAAAAAGAAGAGAAGAACTAATCAGAATGAGTTCATCATGGGTTTGAGCTATGGGAAGAGGGACAAAGAGTCCTCAATTTGCCGCCTTCAATCGTCGAAAAAACAAAGAATGAGGTGTAGATTGAATGCCGAATGCGGATACTGGTAAAGACAAAATGAGCAATGAAACCGCACATACTCCACCAACAAAATCCTCCCAGCCCATACTCTCGCCAGCAGTAAGGCAGCTGGAATCGAAACTTCTCGAGAACGAAAAAAAAAGAAAATGCCTCGCGAACCAGAACAAAGATTGGAGTAAACAACCTCCAATTGGAAATCAAAGGGAACCTAGAGGAGAAGATCAGTATCATAAACCCTTCCGCCCACTCCCCACTCCACATCCCTCATCCTTCGGAAATTCGAGAAACGCACTCCGGCAGTAAGAAAAGCAGAAAAGAGCTCTACTATCATCCAAACAGGTCCCGTAAACAATGCAACAGCGCTCCACCGGCCATTCTACATACATTGCGTGAATTCAACGTGGAAACCACAATTATTCCCCCGAAAAAACGTCGAACGTAGAAACAAAAAGCGAATCCGCTAATGCCGAAACCCGCTTGAAAAAACAACTCTCGAATTTCGCACTACCACGGTGACGGAGGGAGCGTCAAAACCAGAGCGCGTCATGGAAACGGGAACCGAGTCCGATGCCGAAAGCAGGAATACCACAAGGAAATAGTAACGGATCTGAGCTACGTAGAAAAGGCCTTCCGGCGAACTCGAGGACACGAAATTCCAAAAAGACGAAGCGCAGGAAACGAGGAAGGGAAGAAAGAGAACTTACCGGCAGCTGCGAGGAGTGGATAACGGAAGAAGATGCAGCAGCAGAAGCATCTAGGGTTTCCGAATGAGGGGCCGGCCACGGCCCGAGTACGAAGAAAGGAAGCAGCAGGGAGAAGAATTTCTCTCTGCGAGGACGAGAATCCAAAGATGCAGAGAGAGAGGCCAAGGATTAGCTCTCCTTCGCTTTTGTTGTTGTTAGTTTTGGGCGAGAAAGAAAGAGAGAAGGATGCTTGTACGAGATGGTCACGCGTGAGGGAAGGAGGAAAACAGTCCACGCGCTTACGGCGGCGCGTGATTACGTGGGCTGGGTTGAAAAGGCTGGGGTTGGCTGAGGTGGAGCAGATAAAGTACGAGAAGCACTGTCCCGTTGTTTTATTCGTACGTGGAGGTGACCTACACAACAGCGGCGCGTGGGTGTGAAAGGATTGATTATTTATTATCACTTTATATTTATCAGGAGAAGCAATTTGTTTTTCATTTTTGTTTTTTTTTATGTTTATTCTATAAAATAATAGTTAATTTTCCGCCGGGCCTTATGTTGGCTGCACATGTGGAACCAAATCCCACGTCAACGTCCGATGGAATATCGACCGTCCGATCAAGGAAGGACAAACAGAAAAACTATTTTACGTTACAATTTACATGCATCCCGGCTGTTCGTTCTTTCTTTAACCCGTTGAATCCAATTTTGGTGTTCCACTCTTTTGCAGCTTCCTCCTACCTTACAAGCTTTGTTTTTTTTTTACAGTTTCTTGTACGCGTTACAAAGTCAATTACCTCACCAACTAACTAACTCCCAATTCAGCATGGTCAATGGTGAAGCCTACTAGAATGGGCTTAAAAATAAAGAAAAATTTTAGTAGTTCGATTTCGGGTTATGAAGTGTGGATTATATGGTAATTGACTCGAGAAGACTCGAGAGTTCGCTATTCAAGAGGGTACTACACTCTAAATCCTGACTTCAGCTTTCATAGCAGTAGTGCAATTCAGTGGTTGTATATTTGAAAATTTTCTTTTAATATATTCTGTAATGGTGTAACCATATGCTAATCATACATTGAAAAGTGATAGAGATAGTGTTATGAGCCACACTGATCAAAGACCATATTTCAATTGTATTATGTTGCTAGGGATGGCAAAAATATCCATAACCATGGATATCCACCCGAATCCGACCTAATCGGGTAGGGTAAAACCCGAACCCGAAGCATTTTTCGTGGGTACGGGTAAAACCCAAACCCGAATATTGCGGGTAATGGGTGGGCATGGTTATCTCACTATCCAACCCGAACCCGCCCGATTATACACATGCATATGTATTTTGTCTAGAAATAATCATTATGTTTCTCTAGAATATTTTATATTTAGCATACAAATATAATATTTTCATGAAATTATGTTGTTTCAATTAATTTTCGTCATTCTAGTGAATTATTGTCGTACTTTTCCTCTTACGTAATGTGAGTATACGTGTGAATGTTAACATATTGGTTGGAATTATAAGGAGAAATTATTACCCATGGATAACCGTGGATACCCGAAACCCGAACGGGTATGGGCATGGTATTGATTTTCTACCCGTTTCTCGTGTGGGTACGGGTATGGGTAAAACCCGAACTACATTGGGTAGGGTAACGGATATGCACTATCCGCCCCCGACCCGACCCATTGCCATCCCTATATGTTTTAAGACATGACTTTGATACCGATGGAACTGTGCAACTTAGTGTAGTATGTTTTAAATTAGTCTATACTTATAGTGATGGTGAAATGGAATTTCGAGTTTGTATGAGGATCCAGCAACCTGCAGGTTTTGGCAAAGGAGCTTATCAACGGTGGAGCTAGGTTGAAGTTAGAAGGGTCTATAGCCCTCCCCTCTCAACTTTGGAATATAGATAAAATTAGGTTTAATACCTTAGTTTGGCCTGAACTATACACATACTTGCTACTTTGGCCCGTGGTATTGGAAATTGCTATTTTGGTCTGAACTATGTAGCAAACTTCCTCATTTGGCCTGGTGGCGGGTTCGACCGTTAAATTAGACGGTCAAACTTGTTGATCGTTAGTCAATGTCCACCTCACCTGCCATGTCAGCTTTGAGGACATAAAAAAAAAATATTTTTTTATTTCTGAATTTTGTTTTCATGTCATTTGCCAAAAATGGGCCCTTTTTCGTTCTTTTAATTAATTTTTTGATTTATTATTTTTATTAATCAAAAGAAATAAAAATTAGAAATAAAAAAAATAAATTTTTATGTCCTCAAAGCTGACGTGGCAGGTGAGGTGGACATTGACTAACGGTCAACAGGTTTGACCGTCTAATTTGACGGTCAAACTCGCCTCCAGGCCAAATGAGGAAGTTTGCTACATAGTTCTGGCCAGAATAGCAATTTCCAATACCACGGGCCAAAGTAGAAAGTATGAGTATAGTTTAGGCCAAACTAAGATATTAACCCATAAAATTATATGCAAAATTTGTATTAAAATTATAAAAATAGAGTAGTTGGTAAGACTTTAACCCCATCCCCTATTACCATCGTTCAAATCAGCGCTTCTCATTCAAATTTCTGCCTCCATTCCACCACTGGAGCTTATAGTTTGACGTTAAATTACCTTTTTTCTTCTCTTTTTTTTTTCGCATGATATGTATACATTGATGTACACATAATGTAACCATAATGTAACCACATACTATGTATACATTAAGAGAATTATAGCCCTTTTGAACTACAAGTAACTCCTCCTCAATTTTTACAACTAAAATTATAGTGAAATTTTATTTTTTATTTTATTTTGACTGGTTGTTACCACCTCAATAGTAATGTAGTACAAATTATTAAAAAAAAAAGTAATGTAGTACATTATTAGCCAAACTGTGTCTTCATATTTTACGCCGAATGAGGAATATAATAGATATAAGGAAAAAGTAGAGCCGCGTTAATGATAATTAAGGGGTGGTTAGGGAAGTTAATTAGAATTGACCAATAAGTGGGATGTGTTGGGTGGAGATTAGTTTCATTGGATTCAGAAAGAAAGAAAAGGATGGAAACTGGAAATGGTGGAGATAGACAGTGACACGTGGCGGTGGAATCTTATTGGGAAAGAGAAAGAGTCAATAAATAAAAGAAAAAAAGGAAGGAAGGAGCAAATGGGGTGCCATGTCATCCAGCAGTGCTTGTGGTTGTTGGGACTTTTGATTTTTATGATTTTTTGGTTTCATATTTTACCAGATATATTTATTTACTTGATAATATGGTTAATTTCCATTTTTCTATTGGAGAATTATTGATGTTTCATCCATGAATGATTGTGTTACAAGCCATGATTATTTTAGATACATTCAAATGATATCCAAAATTGAAAGTTATTTAATAAATGTGAATCCAATCATCAACAAAATTTTACGGATTAGGGAGAAGAGTCCTTTAGTAGAAATCAATGATGTAAAACTGTATCAATGGTTATATCGGATAAATACCAGTAATTCGGCTCGGGTCCAGATCGACTAATTTATCACGAGATACGGCTCGGGGCAAGTCGATCTATATGGGTATATAAGTTAAAAGAAAACATTAGAAATATTTACATTTTTGTTAAAAACCAAAAAATAAATTATAATACGATAAATATAGTTAAATTATTTGAGAAAATGAGGTTGTCGCTTATCTACAGTTTAATCATAAAATCTTAGGTAATTTGATAAATTACATATAATTTAGGCAAAAATTGCTCGAGAATGGGGCGGATCATAACAGGTTAGGTCAATGAGAATACTCATGTCTGTCATGCCCCGCCTACGAAGCAGATTTTACCCACCCAAAATAGATCAAACAAATCTAATAAAACGTGTCATGTAGAAATTGCCCTCCTTAATAAAGCTTGTGTTGGAGTGTAAGAATATTGGGAGCTAAGGTAGTTGGGGCTTAAGCCAAACTGATTCATCCTTTCCTAAAAGTATTTAAATGCACCATTGTTATAAATCGGTTGGTCTTAATAACTCGAGTTGTTGGGAGAAGGTTATGTTGAATCTTATACTACTCTCTAACATGCCTTCTCAAACAAAAGTCAGCCCATGGGCTTGAAGTTTGCACGGTCCCAACATACCATGTGTTTTAATCAACTATTAATATCATAAACTAGTTAATACCAGTAATTCGAGTTGTCGGGAGAAGGTTATGTTCATAGGCGGAGCCAAGGCCAATTGGATGCATGTGTCCCGGGACACAGGTAACTTTTGGTTAAAATAAAATACCCATATATATGTATCAATTAAGGATTGCACTCATCACCTTTAAGTAATATAAAAGTGAATTATCACTACACTACAAGTTATTTCAAGTTTAAAACTAACATAAACTAATTTATCACACAATAAACAAAAATCCACAATACTGAAAAATCGATCTCTTTGTTTTCTGTAGTTAGTTTTGAGTCTACTCGTTGCAACTGCAAGTGTAAAAAGAACATTTTCAGCTTTTAGGTATATCAAAAACAAGTTTCAAAGTCGAATTGCGACTAATTTGCTAATGGTTGCTTAGTCGGATACATTGAGAATTTGAAAACGTATTGTAAGTGCTCATGAAAATAATGATTGTGTTAGTATAGTATTTCATTAATATCTATCAATGAATTATTTTGATATTATTAGTTTTAATAATATTTATTTATTTATCATATATTTATATTATGGAAAAATGACACAGATACTTTCAAATTCTGACTCCGCCACTAGTTATGTTGGAACTTATACCATTCTTTAACAACAATCAATACCCCACGGCCACTAGTTATGTTGGAACTTATACCATTCTTTAACAACAATCAATACCCCACGGCCACGAGTCAAGGCCTCCTCTCCGCCATTAATGGACCACCAAATGCAAACTTTTTTTTTTTTTTGACAAACACCAAATGCAAACTGAAGGAGACAACCAGACAAAATCACATCACGGTAAAAATGTTTCTGCTACTGAAATTACCTTCATGTTGGCGGTGGTAGAAGAAGCTCTGCCTCAGCTGCCGGCCGGCCGGCGGCTGCTGCAAGTCAATGGTATAGGCATGCCTCCACCGGCCACCACCGCCCAGCGGGCCACTTATTGCGCCCCCAACAACAGAAAAATATATAAAGTGGGCGCCGGGGTTGCTGACAGACAGACAGACGAGACTGACCCGACTTTGGTCTACTTTAATTTTCTGGTTTTCTTTTCTTCACGTTATCTCCTCTTCTTTATTTCCACCCAGCTGGAGAATCCCCCATTGGTTGTCATAATTACTTTTAGTGCAAGTCAAACCTCTTTTAACTCTTTGTTTTTTTAGGTTCAGATTAAATTATAAAGTGTCAGTTAATGGTTTATGTCTCGACTTTCCAAGACCAAGTGATGCAACGATTTGCTGAATGATATTATGATATTCATCAACTT